ATCATTTTCATCTTTGAAAATTCTTTTCTCTACACAAATTACTATTTAGACTCTTACGAACTTTTACGATAGTTGAAAAAGAAAAATCGAAAATAAACTGGATCGAATAGTTTTGTAAACCATTGTATATCTATATTTATTTACATTAACCTGGTGATGAGAAATACTTATATATTACTGCTACTTCTCATTGCTGAACTCTCCTATCTAATTCTATGTCGTTATCATATTTTTACTGTTTGCTTTGAACTTCTTCACCTATTTTATCGGATATGCGAGAAAAAAGCATGTTTTTCTTTCATTTAATGGTATAATCGAAGTAATATGCAATGAATATAAACAGAAACATATATAAACTATTGTTCACCCGCGTTCATTATAGTTTGATAATTTGCTGCTATATTATTCGACGGTTATGACTCGTCCACGACATTCGTCAGCAATTGCTAATAGCAATGAAAAGAGGCTGCTTTGTTTTCGGACAATTGACATCTTCTATGCATTCACCGCTTCTTTGTTTAACTACAATATATATATATATATATATCTCCTTCAGACAAATGCTTCAATATCATTCACACATGCATTATATCATAAGTACTTAGTACTGTAGGAGACTAACATCGAAGTGAAAACGATTCTTTTTTTTTGTTTCTATTGATTAGTATTTAGAGTAAGTGTATCTTGTATTCATATTCGATTCAAATTATTCAAATCGATTTCCAGTTTTACAAGAAAATTTATTATATTGTCCAAAAAAATCAATGTCGTCCCAATCTTATGAACGTTCAAAATCAAATAATTCATCAATGAATGTAACAATAGTAGCATCAGGTTCATCATTGATAGATTTACTTAATCAACAAACGTCTCAAACAACAAGTAAAGATGATTCAACACCAACTATGCTTAGTGAAAATATTAGCCGACGACGTACTCAACAGACTCGTAATTCAGAATCAAATGGTAGAGGTAATCAAATTTTAATTTTTTTTCGTTGAATAATGATGCTTTTTTGTTTTAGATAATGAAAGATTATCAACATTATTCAATACAACTGGTCGCGAACGAAATACTACAGCACCTTTAAAACAATGGCTTTATGAGCATCAACATCATCCATGTGAGTAATAAGTAAATTCTTCGACCATATCTTCTTAATTGAAGCTGAAGATCAAACTAATTAGAAGATTGACAGTGAAGGTGAAGATTGAAATTTTCTTTGCAATTGGAATGTTGTCTTCTTCAACTAAATCTTTTTATAATTATCTTTTGTTTTTTAGATCCAACAGAAAATGAACGAAAAGAATTAATGGAAAAAACAAGTATGTCTGCATATCAAATAACAACATGGTTTACAAATGCTCGTGTACAAATGCGTAAAGAAAAAACATTAATTTCAAAAAATGAAGAAAAACAAGAAAATAATATAAAACAAAAAAAAAATTCAAATCATGTTCAAACAACTATAGATTTAACAATATCATCTGATGATGAAAAAGTTGAATTACATATTAATTCACCAATTTTATTAAATCAAAAACAAATCGTTTTGGCATATTCTTGTTTATATAATTATCAAATTGTATGTTACAGAATAAAAAAAAAATAAAACAAAAAAATATCATAAAATTTTTGTTTAGGTTGAACTTCATCGTTTAGAATCGATTTATCCTAATCAATTATCAATATCTGGTTATGTTAATGATCATACAACTCATTTAATTATGGGAAATGAAGAAAAACCTTTATTATGTCCATTAACATTGAAATTATTTCAAGGAATAGCTCGTCATTTATATATCATGTCATATCAATGGATTATTCAATGTATAAAACAAAATAATATTATTGATGAAATTAATTATGAAATACGTGGTGATATTCCATTTGGAGAATATCATGATGGAATGAAAAGAAGTCGATTATCAAAAGAAGTTAAACTATTTGAAAAATGTCAGTTTTTTATTTTATGTGATGGTTGTCAAGGTAGCATGGTAAGTAGAACAATTAACTTAATCCAAGATATTCGATTTAGTTCTCATACTGAAACTTGTAGAATGATGGATTTAGCATTTTTTTTTCAAACATTAAGAAGTCGATTGTTGTTAGTAGGAGTAAAAATTATTTTTCTATTCGAGTTCTATTAAGCATAGGTCTTTTTTTGTAAGTTTTTTATAATTCAACAAGTATGAAGAGTTATCTGATAGGAGGGATCTTTTAAGTATTGGTATATATATATATATTTATAATAAAGTGATATCCCTATGAATGAAAATCAGAAGAGATAAATGCATCATTTACTATCAACTGGAGTTGCTGATTGTTTGTTAGTTTCTCTCATGACAGTAACTGGTTAGCATTTAATTTACTGAGACTTATAGTTGGTTATCAAAAAACACTTCAAACTGAATGATCGGAAATATCGATATGATTTTCTTTCAGTCAAATGAGTTGTAGGATGATAATTGCTTTTTTTTTAGTCAAAAGATGAACTATCTGCTTTAATTCAACTATGTCATGGTTCAATTCTTCCAACATTTCCATTAACAGCAACGACTGATAATTCAACATTCACTATTGTTCTTTGTAACACATTAAGTCCATTTGATTCTGCTAATCAACAACAATTATTTGAATTATCTCGTTCAAATGGTATTCATTTTCTTGATCCTGAATGGATTATTGCATCAATTATTCAATTTGCTTTACAACCTTTTGATTGTTATGAAGAAAAATTTTAATAGAACTCAAAAACTGTACTGTATCTTGATTTGATCAGATATAGCTTAACAGTGAAAATAAATTAGTCATAAAATCTAATAGTCATGTTCATCTGTAGATTTTTTTTGTTTCTAATAAATATGAAAAAATGAATTCTTTCATTTTAGACTCGATGTTCGAACAGAAGTCGAATAGATTTTACTTGTTTGATTGGATGAAATATGAATTTGATAATCGTTGGAATGTTGATGATGTACTTAAGATTGAAATACAAAATTCTACTAACTAGTTTTAAAATTTACATTGAAGAGTTGCATCACAATTCTAGAACCTCATATAATAATAATTAGATTCTTCAGTTTTATAATGATAAACCTAACATATCAGTAATTATTTTGTATGGAATAGAGTCGTTTGATCTTAACTATTAATAACATTTAACAAATTCTAAATAAATATGAAGAAAATTGTAATACAAAAGAATGACTACACAACGTCACTGTTCTAAGACATTGCCGCCGAATTTGAATGCTGGGAAATAGGCTTAAAATTACCATAAGATCCATTCGAAAATGAAGTTGATTTAGTACATTTAGTTATGACGAAGATTTCTTATGAGGTTGTATGTAGTTGAAAATTTTCTTTTTACACATAATCTTTTCTTTCACTTCTCAAGCCTTGTCATATGCAAACGCACATGAGCAATAAATCGTTTCAGTTCATTGGGATGACAAGCAATGTCATAAATGCTAATTAGTTGTTTATCAGTGAATAAAAAAAGAAACATTGTACATCCGCATTGTTTCATTTAAATTGTAGCCTTTCTATTTTTTTTTTACACTCAAGGTTCTAAAAAACATAATGTTGTATTCATAAAATAAAATAAACTATAGTCTTTTGAATGATTTCGCAATCATACATTGAAATCGAACATAAAATGTAAAATTTTGTTTTTATTGAACTTTGAAAATAGATAAATTAGACATTATTTTGTTTCACAACAAGTTCAAAATATCAACAATATTTATGTTCTTGTACCACTTATTAGTTGAATAAATATATGTCTGTTACTAATAGAAGTATCAACTATCAAGTACTTATTTATACCGGAATCATAATATATTCATGTTGATTTAAGCCCAAAAAAAAAGTGTACTTTATAGAGTATATATTTTGTTTAGTCTAGTCATCAGAATATTGAAATGCCTAGAATTAAAACAATTACATATTTGATCTAATACTAGAATATTTCAATACTTTAAAATCTAAGTTGAATAGTAAATTCGAAAATACATGAAATAATACATCCATAATCGATTTAACGCTTAGGTATTATGCTATTGTTACATAGCGCCTATCTCGTTGTTTTTATTCTCACACATATATGTGCATGAATAGAAATAGAAGTCTTCTCTTCATATATTGTTCATGTCAAACAAAAGTTATTGTTTATTTGTGATGTTATAAAAGTATGTAGGTGATATTATGTCACTCTATGTCATCGTTCTTAGATAACTGATAAACGAAAAATTGTATTAATGGATTAAAAAAGAACAAATGTCAATTTTATACGTATCTATTTTAATCAATTAAGAATCTCGTATAATTCATTCGTAGATCTTCTAGGACGAATATGGTATAAACAAATTGGTTACTTAATATTAATTGAACAGTAAAATTACTAACTTAATAGCAAAATTTGTATAATAATACTTCATATATTTATATTTATAATTGAGTAGGATAATATAATACAAATATTAGTAAATGTATAACAGAAATTACAAATGTTAATCATGAAACAACACTTTTCATATGTAAAATATTTATTTAATAAACATATTTTATTATGAAGAGAAAATTAAGTTTTATGAGATCTATAATACTAAACCAAGGGCAAAATAACAGACTTTATAAACCATAAGATTTGTTATTTCCTTTTTATGATCGAAAAAGAAATGATATTTTCCATTAAAGAAAACAAAATAAAAATTGTTAATATCAATTTGTTATATTTAAATATGTTTAATTTTTATACACCAATAAAATGAACACTTTATCACTTTATTTTCATAAATGAAATCATATTTCTATATATATATATGTATATTCCTTATATTAACTCGCTGGACTAAGCTATATGAAAAAAAAAATCTCTCTTGTATCAAGATATATGTATTTACAAGTGAAAGAATATTTCAATTGAGAAAAAAAAATAATAGTCACATCAAAAGTGAAGACAGCACTGTTTCAAATAAACATGAATGAGAACAAGTTTAACTATCATTATTATTATTATTATTATTATTATTATTATTATTATTATTTTCTGGATTTGTTGTTGATGAAGGAAATCTATTTGCATAATGTTCTAATCGTCGACGACGTATTACATCAGCATCATTTTCATTAATTGAATCTAATATATCTAAATAATAATCGAATTATATGAATAAAAATTATTTTATTTTAAATAAAATAAAATTTTACTATCTGTTGAATTAATATTTTCTGATGATGATAATACTTGATCAACATCATTTTTTAAATTACTCAATAAATGTGTACCATTTTCCATATTACTATTTATAGAAAAAGTAAAATTTAATTTGGAAAACAAAAATTAAGAAAAAAAAAACTCAAACCTTTGTGTTAAAACAATATTCATATATTGTTGCATTTGTATCATTGATGCATCTAATAAAGTTCTTACATTACGTAAACATTGAATACGTGCTTGAACATGAGCTAATTCTGTTCCTTCCATTGCTCGAATTGCTTCTTCAGACATACCAGTAAAATCAGTTGGCGGTAAAGGTGGAGGAGGAAAAGCTTTAATGAATAATAATTAGATGTTTTATTTTTCATAGTTTTGAACTAACTTACCAAATGGTGGTAATACCATAGGAGATGAATTAAATGGTATTTGTGGAAATATTCCAACACCAATTGTATTGGTATTTGGTGATGATGCTTGAGTTGTTGTTGTTGTTGTTGTTGTGTTCAATGGTGTAGAGCTAGAACTTGTTGATGCAGTTGAAGTTGCAGGAGGAGATGGTGGAACAAATCTAACTGAAGGTACTGGTATTTGAGCTTGTGCTTGAGGAGCTGCAGCTGGTTGAGCATTAGGTGGTTGTGGTGGTGGTGGTGCTGCTGCTCCTGTTCGAGGAGGTGTAGGACGTAAAACAGTAGTTCGACAAATAGGACCTGAAAATATTAATATTTCATATGAAATGAAAATTTTTTTTTTCTTAAACATACAAGTTTGTTGTCGTTGAAACCATGAACGTAAACAATTTTTATGAAATATATGTTGACAAGAAAGACGTTTAATACTTTGTTGTACTTGCATATCTTCTCGACATATAATACATGTTGTATCAGCAACATTAGCAAGTTCTTCAGCTGTTAAATCAGGATACATTGTATTTAAATTACGAATAGCACGTCGTGATTCAAGAACATCATTACATGATTTACGAAATGTTCTATAAAATAAAATAAAATAAAATAAAATAAATAATATAAAATAAAAAAAACTTTTTACCTCATGGCAATAAACATTGGTCGAATAGCAA